AATGATTCTCTCTCATCATTGATGTTTCTATCTCTCTCTCTCCCCCCCCTCTAAAATAAATAAAAATATATTAAAAAAAAAAAGTAAGAAAGCCTAGACAGACTAAAAAAGCAGTGCTGTTTTCTGGCTGATGTGTACCAGTATGGCATTCTGGTTGGCATCACTGTATTTGATCAGGTTTCTGTTGTGATTAGTCACGTCCCTGGCATAAGAGTTGGTAAATTTTTAAGGAAGCATTCTTGCCAATATCCATAGAAGCAATAAAGTGATCAAAACTATCCCATGTGAGGCTCCTAATCTATATGGTTTTATGAGCCAGCTCTGTCAGACCAAAGAATAATTCTCATGCTATTTAAACTATACAGTAGTGTAAAGCTTCTCCATTTTACTCAAAAAACAAAACATAACTGATGTGGTAACTGGGGAAATTACACAAAATCAAATCATAAACCAATCTCATTTGATGACTGTAGATGCAAAGAGCCTACTATCTTGTCACTAAGTCTGGGTAGGTGTATGCTTTTCTCCAGCAGCAGATCGGGTGTAGTCATGGGGAGGGCAGCCAGCTCATTCTTCCAGAGCTGGGGTTTTGACAGGACAATTAGGCAAGGAGAGTGGCTGGCATAGTAATGAAGTGAGAGGGAAGAAGTGAAGAAAGAAGGGGGCCGAGAGACGAGAGATGAGAGACGAGAGACGGGGGGCTAAGTGATGGTAAAGGTGAAAATTTCTGGATGCCAGGAGTGCCGGAATGAGACACCATCCAAGTGCAAGCCAATCAATACTAGGGGCCCTGGGGGGAGATGGAGGTGTGAGCAGCTCCCAGGATGCAGGGAGTGGAGTGCCGTGCCCAGAGAGGAATGCTCCCTGTCCCCTGGGCAGAAAAGGGGCAATGGAATTGGGCTGGGCCTCTGACATGGTGGGCAAGGGCTAAGGATACACACAGCCCCTCCACAGGATAAATGATCCAACCTCTAGTAAACAAAGAAACGCCAATGAGAACAAAGCAGTACCATTTTGCACATATCAATCGGCCACGATAACCGGAGAGGAAATCCTCAGTGCTGGAGAGAACAAAAGGGCGTGTGCTGGGAAAATGAGCTGCCCCAGATCTTTGACCTCCGGGAAAAATCAGATGGAGCACAAGGGCCTGTAGATAGGGTTTGGTTGTGGACACTGCCGCCCTCCCGTGAAATCAACTAAAACGATGATTTAAGCTCTTAAAAACGAATACTCAGAAATAGGCTTAGGAGACAGGAAGATTGACTGCTGCATCAAAAAGCCGTTTCTAAAAATGTGACCTTAGACACATATCTGCACAAGTCTAGGATTGCCAGTGATTTTTTACCTTCTTTCTTTACATGCAAGTTCACATTTTTTACGACGAACTTTTAAAAAAGCAAGAACAAAAGTGACAGAATCACCTTACTCTCCTGCTCAACCCCTCCAAATGCTCCCACGGGCCGCAGGCTCCGGTCCAAGCGCTCCCAGGCCTTCCTCACCCCAATCCCCAGAAAGTTCCCCGAGGACCCCCGTTTTTTCATCTCCGTCCCCTCGGCTCACACATCCCCGCCCACGGCGCCCGGGGCCCAGGAGCACCGATCCG